ACGGGTATATAATTAATGTTTAATCACTAGTCAGCAATTTGTTTTGCGTGATTGAGTGCAAATTGGCATCAAACGTTTGAACAGGCTGTATAAATATCTGTGTGTGTGTGGTAAAGATATTTTAGGGTGTGATTAATGGGTTCGAAATATCCACGTTGGTGTTGACATAACACGTCGACACTAATCTCTACAGCAATAGTGGTTTTCAATAAAGATTAAATGGGGAAATCAACCGTATTGGAAATTATAATAATGCTGACCAATTATATTCTTGTCCTTTCCATTTAATTTACATAATTCAGTTGGACCATCAAAAGCAATTCATGTGTTATTAAACTCTACATATGCGAGTAATCTGAACTTAAGCTGTTGTACACGTACAAAATCAAAAACTTTTAAAAATTTATCCATTATTTGCAACTGGTTTATTACATGGTTAGTATAGTTAGTTAGTTATATATTAAACAGTCTTAGAGAAACAAAATTTGTTATGTCAATACGGAATCAATTCTCTTTGGAACAAAATTTTTTTCTAATGAGACAAAAATTAACAATGAATGTCTCCAATAAACGGTATTGGGTAAACCGTAAATTCCATGATTATTGACAGATTTTTTCTATTTTCATACTCACACCATGTGTTACAAAATTATAAATTCTAATAATTATACAAAAAAACCAATAAAATGATATCTCAAAAGTGGAGCCAACGACTTTACGTTTTGTCGTGAACGTCCACATTTATGGTATATGTAAGATGGTGAACTAGTCAAAGAATTTTAATTTAATTATTTACATATTTCGTTAGTTTAGATATTCAAAACAAGAAAAAATGTTAACCTCGGTTGCACCGAAGCTATAGAAACCTTCACAAATACAAAAGATTACTTATAAAAACTTGATCGCAGCTATATGTATGCTATATTGACTCGATCTGAACAATTTCTTCGGAGATTGCAACGTTGCTGTGGATAACAACCCAAATTTCGTAAAGATATTTCGGTAATTAAAAAATTGTCCATATGAGTCAAACTAAATATACTGCTCAGGGTATAAATATCATTCTTAACATTTTCTTCTCTATAAACTTACACAAAATCTGATATTTCAAACCTCTGGAACCGTTAATAATACTAGTGTAATTAAAACTTTCAAATTGTGGGAAAAGAATTTCTGTTGAATGCCAAATAAGCGAACAAGCAGTAACAACAGTGAAAACAAGAATTCATACCAAGGATATTTTACCACTTGTATAAGAAGAACTAACTAATTGACAGATACCGACAAGAACAACATAAAAAAAACAACAAGAAATACACTGACAGCAACAACATTCCCATCAACTTTGACTCCAACACCGCCCAGAAATAGAAACATAAAAGCAAGAGTACGCTGAAAGCATACGAATTATATGGATACGTGGATATACGAGTACATATATGTACATATGTATATATATATATATATACAAATATGTGTATAATGTGCAGCTCAATGTATTGCATTACAAGTGCGCGCTCCTTATCGCAAAGTGTTAAATGAAAAGCAGACGCCCTCTTCAAAAAGGGGAGCACCACCAGCGACCATAAGGCGCAAAGTAAATGAGGCTGCAATGCAAAAGGAATGGCATGAAAGTGATCGAAGTCTGGATAGGGATAATCAATTTCTGCGGGCATGAAGTGTATCAGAGGGCATTTAATAATAAATACCGTGTATATTTAAGAAAGAATTGGGCATGCAAATGTGTCAGAAAAATTTCAGAATTTTCCTACTTACATACATATGTATTGTGCACATGCGCGTGTGTATGCTCGTGGGTCATGTTGTGCGCTGTTAAGTTAAAACATATGTTAAATATTCCCATGAAACCAAAAATAGACACATATGAAACGGTTATGAAAGCAAGCATACAAAATATGCAGATACACACACACACGTGCGCACGCATACAGCGAATAGCACTGACATGCCTACAAGACAATACAAACACTAAAATGCGTTGCAAGTCAAACATACACACACACATACAAGTACTCACACGCACATATGAGCATAAAAATAAAAAGAAAACATATTTTAAAAGTGGCTCAATGAGTTCAAGTGCAGTGCATTTGCGTCGCACTGATAGCAGCCACTCAGCAGCAATTAAAAAAAAAAAGCGAAATACCAACAAGACACACACACACACGTAGTTCGTGGGGAATACAAACATGTGCGGCCCAAAAGTGCAGTAAAATCATTATTAGAACATTATGAAGTAAGTGCGGAGCGGGGAAGGAAATAAATAAAATAAAATATATTGTGATGCGACAAGCGCGCAAAGTGTCTTCCCGGCAGCTATTTTTAGCGCCATCACCAAGGCATAGCGCATCACTCATACATATGGCATTGCTGGGCGGCACATTAGTGGCATTCACAAAGTGTCGCTGCGCTCGCATTCATAATATGCAAGTATAAATATATCTATGTACGTATGTATGTATCTTTATGACCATATGTTCAGCGGTGCGTGTGACAAGTGAAAGACCAGGCAGCGTTTATGGCGTAGCCTGAGCCAAAGGTCGCGCATCGAATAAACGAAATGTCAGTTGCACGTTTGTACAATGCAAATCTAAATTGTCAAAATGTGTTAAGAACTCCGCTCTTGAACTTGATGCACATCACCATATATGATTTTATAAAATCCCAAAAGTTTACTGAAAACGTTACTAAACCTTTATTTTCTATATGAAATTCAAAAGTATAAGGTGCCTTGACAAAACAAAAATTTAATCTCACATACCGGATAAAAAAATTTAAAATAAAAACATTCTAATCACAAAAATAAATTCTTCAGCCCAACTACCGGATTTGAAAAAAAAAATTTTATCTTAAGAGTAAAATTAAGAATTAAAAAACAAATTTGCCAAACACACAACAAAAAAAAAACTCATGAAAGAAACGAGTATTGACCTCATTCTTTGTTTGTTTTGATCGGGCAAATAGTATCGAAAATATTAGCGTATTAAGCGGTAATAATCGAAGGAATACGATTTTTAATAGTAATTTCGATTATTTTTAAGCCAATTATGATTTTTCCATGCCATTTTTTTGCTTTTATTTTTTGGAAGCCGCAGCTTTGTCAAAAATGAAATTTGCGACTAACCTGTATAATACCTGTAGTCGTTTAAAATAATAACAAATGTATTTTTTTTTTTTTGATTTAAGATAATTTAAGGCAGAAAAATCTTCCTCACCACCAGATCTTGTTTCGGAGGTCTTCCAGAAGATCGGCTAGCGAATAAAGTGATTACAAAATTTTTTCAAAATAAATCACCGACTATACAATTCAAAAAATTCTGTAAATTATTATTTATTAAATAAATTTTATTTTTTAAATTATTTATTAAATAAATATAATCTTTACAAACAAGTTATTAAAAAAAACTGGTTTTTCTGACTTGCAAGTCGCTATAAGAGCCCACAGGCAAGCAAACGTTTCCCTGGGAATGTTAAAAACTTCCTTTAATATCGTTTTCAACTCCTATAAATCGATAACTGAAGACTTATGTATAAGGTAATAAGTAGTATTACAAATCCAAAAAGTTCGTACGGAAAGATAGAATAGGATTTGGAGAAAACGTAGTCCGTTAAATCATCATCAAAAACCTCAGTAATGAAGTCACTGCCATAGTCCGCAAACAAAATCATAATTTTATGGGGCAGTGTTGCATTAAAAACATAGTGATAACTGCATAAAACACATTGTCCCACTAGGAAATTTTGAGATGGTTTTAGAAAAAGAAATAGAGAGTAAAAATTGTATTTTTCTAAGTGAAAATATAGTACTATGTTCTATGTCGATGCATACAGATGAAGTTCTCTAAATCTTTATTCTTTTTTAAATCATAACAAAAATTAATGTGTTCAGCCACAGAAAGCTATACTAAAATATTTTTTCTCTTGGGTTAGATTATGGATGAGTATTACTCATATAGTTCCACAATTGGATCTGTATGATACATGAATTGCTCGACTAAAGTGAACCTAACCATGGGCAGCTAAAACGGAAACTAGTACATGCATTCGCATACCGACTTTACTTGAATTGTTCCAACGATCCTCAAAATATCTGAAGCCTACCTATTCCATTGCATCTTAAGGTGACATTACTTATCATAAAATCTTCATAAAACTGTTACTCTAATTTTTCCCAATCCCGAAAATCAGCAAATAAATTAAAACTTTTCATTCAAAGAATATTTAAAAATATTTATTCATATTACAAAATCTAGTATTTAAAATTAATAATGAGATAAATGCAAGTCAGTCATGATATTTTTTACTACATGATCTTTGGTTTTTCTCTACAGGGTGCATAGTACCTATTTATGATGCATGTGCTGCACGCGTGTATTTGTTGTGATTTATTTTTAGTCATCACAGACGCAGACGCGGAACATGTGTTTCTGTGGCATTGTTTCACTGTATTCAAAATGCATATGTTTTTATTTTTATAACTCAATTCTTTTTTCGTCTCAATGTTGCCTTTCAAAATATTGCTTTCGGTCGCGATAATGTATGGAATTATTAAAAATGTGGCGTTAAAATGAGAAAATATCTCAAAATAAAACCGAAAATAAGCCTAAATGAGCAGAAAAGAAAATAATAAGAAAGTGAAAAGTTTTTGAAGTGCAACGGACAGAAAACGATGCAGCCATAGCTCACTACACGTACATATACAATCTGATGCTGCTTTAGGAGCAACTACAAGTAAAAAGAGAGCATGCAACATACTGGTGGCGGAGGAGTGATGCGTGGTGTACGTATTGAAACGAGCAGCCGGAGCAGCAATACTGAAGCAACGCTGGGAAAATTGTGATTGTTGCTGTTTGTTTGTTCAAATATATTTTTGGGCGGGAAATGTTTATATTTTTTCGTTTTCCACACAAGTGTGTAAGTATGTATGTGTGTATTTTTATATTTGACTGAGCTGGTAGCAGCAAAAGAGCACTTGGTGTGGGTATAAGGATAGTGAGTCGTTTGAAAATCTCGACATTCTACGCGCAGATTTTGTAGTGTACGGAAGGATTGAAAGTGCGGGCGCTTGAAACAATTTATTTAACGATACAAGTGCACTTGCATACTGGTTGTGCATATAGGCTAGAAAAAAATCAAAACAAATCAAACAAATGGGCTTAACATACAAAGCATTGAAATACAGAGATATCAAAAAAAATGTGACCAATGCAAAGGCGGGTGGAATGACTGTCGATGTCGAAACCGAAGAGACAATAGCACAACAACAAGCAACTACATTGTCAATAGAAGCGAGCACAGTACAAGTGAATACAACAACAACATTGCCGGAAAATCAACAACAATACACTGCTGATCACATAATGAAATTGTGCTTATTTTTGGCAGAAAAGTCCAGGGCTAAGGTGAGAAACTTGCAGTGAAATTGGCGGAAAGCAGTTTTTTTTTATGTAAAATGTGTGTGTTTGTAAACTTTTCACAATAAACTAAAGATAAACACACATTTCCAAAATTTGAAAATTAAACAATAAACAAATCAAATCCAGGAAAACAACAAACCAATATTTCTTATTGGAAAAATTTTAAGTGAGAATATTTGGAAATAATGAGTGTACGAAGTGTTGAAATTTGTCTGCAAAAATGTAAAACTATTGAGAAAACATAGCTACATTTTGTTTTAAAAATAAGATAAAATATTCACTTCGCCTGCACCGAAGCTAAAATTCTCTTAACGGGTTCATATAACATAAAAGGGTATAAAAAGATCTTGATTTAGATCGGTCAGTTTAAATGGCTTTTTAGTGGTCCGCTCTAATCAGTATGTTGGGTTATTATAGCGATGCTTTGGAAAATAATCTGTGCTAAGTTCGTTAAAAATATCATTTCAAATAAATAAGTTTTCTATATGACTATTTGATTTTGATCGCTCAGTTTGTACGGCAGCTATATGCTATTGTGGTGGTATAGTCTTGAAGAGAAGAGGAATTGTGCAAAATTTTAGATCGATGTCTCGGAGACTCAAGTTCTAGTTCACGTATAGAATAGACAGATGGACTGAGCGACATGGCTTTATCGACTCAACTCGTCATGTGTATCAAGTATATATATATAATAAATATTTTACAAGGTCACCGACGTTTCCTACTGGCTATTAAGAACTTCGTGGCAAACTTAATATACCTAATTCAGGTCAAAATTATCTTGCTTCAATTAGATAGACTCGTAAATAGTAAAGAACGTTTTTATCCCAAAAATTATGTCCATTATTTACAAAAGCTAATATTTACCTCTTCGGTACAATTAGTTAAAAAAAACTTCATATTACTGTTTCCTAATTCTCTTCTCTTGTATTTGTTTTTTATAGCAACTTCAACAAAGCCAACAAATGAACGCCCGCCGATTTTATGAAAACTTTCTCCAAGAAACAACTGAGGGTGCCGAGGAGGAACAAATCCTTTGCAACAGTGATGCCGATACTTTCCAAAACCATTTAGAAAATTTTGAAAACAAATTAAGATCATCAAAAACCAAATTACACATATCAACCGCCCAACAAACGAGTCCGCGTACCATAAGACGAACCAAAATAAAATTGGAAAAACACATTAAACACTCTGTGTTAACAGATAAATTTTCAACCTCTAGTACTTCAAATTTTCTTAACTATAGCACACTTCCGGATGTATGCGAGAAACCATATGAAGACACACCAAACTATTACCAGCAGCAGCAACACCAACAAGATAAACGTGATATTCTATTAAAAATACGACAGCAAATTTTTGAACGTAAACGTTTGAGACAAGTGCTGAGTGGTGGTCAGCGACCGAATGCACAATATCCGCTCGGAACGCAACAGCATCATCAACAACAACCACAACAACAACAGCTTGAAAATGGCTACAACAACGCACAGTTGCAACAGCAAGTTGAGCTTCAACGTTTGGCGGATGTTTGGCGTCCTTGGTGAGACGCAATCGTGTGTGTGTCAACAGTATTTTTCGTTTCGTTAAAATAGAGTTTTGCATTTCGAAATAGACGGTAACTGCTTTAATAGGAAATATATGAATAAAATTTGGGGTTCGGGCAGGAGATCTTATCCAAAGACTAAATATACGGTACATAGGTATACTATGCTTATTTTATACGCTTACAGTTAAGTTTATACTAAAATTCAGCTATAAGTGTGTGTTAACTAACTGCTTCCAATATTGTGTATTACAAATGTATATTGACTAAGATATTATAAATGTTTATTGAATAAAATACCAAAGACTTTACTTATACAACAAATAAAACTTTGACTTTCTTTGAAATGTTTTAAGTTAAAAAAATGGAGTATAGAAATGAATGAATATTGCTGCACCGATTTAGCCACTAACCCCTCTATTTTTGAGATATCGATCTGAAATTTGCATCCGTCCACTTCTTTTCTAGAAGAAACTCATGTGTTGGAACCGCCGATAAAGGACCACCATAGCATATAGCTGCCATACAAACTGACCGATCAAAATCAAGCTCTTGTAAAGAAAACTTTTTTATTAAACAAGATGTCTTCACGAAATCTGGCACGAATTATTGTCCAAAGCAACGGTACAATCTCCGGACAAATTGTTCAAATCGTATCACTATAGCATATTACTGTCATACTAATTGATCGATCAAAATCCGATCCTTCTATTGAAAACTTTTTTAGCATAAATTGTTTTCCAAGGCAACAATATAATTTTCGGATAAATTTTTCAAATCGGACTTCTCTGACATATAGCTGCCATACAAAATGAGCGATCAAAATCAAGTATTTGACAGGAGATCTTTTTGAAATTTATGAAATATTATTTCCCAAGGCAACGCCAAAATTTTGGGGAAAATTTTTCAGTTAATCAAACAAAATCAAGTCCTTGTATGGAAAACCTTTTTATTTGACAAGATATATTTAAAAATTTGGCACAGATTATTGGCCGAAGCAATGCTTTCATTTTCGATGAAATTTTTTGGATCCGACCACTTTGGCGGATAACTGCCTTACAAACTGATTGATTAAAATCGAGAAAAAGAATTTGTATATAATTTTATGCTATAAGAAATACACACAATATGAAATGCAGTCGAAGTTATTGTTTTTTTTTTGTGCAATAAAATAACATAGGACTTAACTAATTGAAACTCTATAACAAATAAACAAGAGTAGAATGCAAAGTTTTAAAATAAACTCACCTGATATCAGCAAAAATATAACGGTTTACGATTGTTGAATAGATTTTCTCTGTATTAAGTTCAGTTTCTTTGTTGTATAGAAAGAAGTACGTTTTAGTTAAATTAACCGAATTTTTAGTTTAAATATTTTTTCTATTGAATTTAGTACATTTTTTTAAATTAACCGAGTTTTTTTTAATTATTGTAAAACTAACTTTAGTAGTTTTCATATGCTATTACAAGTATTAACTTGCCTGATTTTAAGTATAATATTATATGTTTTTACAATCCATTTTTTTTTAATCTCTTCGAAGCTAGCACAAAAACCAAAAAGTTCGAAACACTGCTGTTACCTCCGCAAAGGCGAGGCACCAATCGTATCTTTCATTGGTTGAATAAAAAAGTCAGTTAATGTCACAACGGTTATTTGACGTACTAACTCGTTTTGCAAAGGTTCAAGTTTTAGCTTTTTAAAATATGTTCGCACCTCTTACTACCGCCAGTGCCATCTAGCGGAATTTCGAGCTTTACCATGAGAATGAAAATTTCACTCTGAACTAAAAGCTCAGCAACCATTTTGTATGAACTCGTGGCTCCTTATTTCAGGAGTTTTGCATATTACTAATCTATTGTTATTTTCACTTTTAAAGCAGAAGTTTTTATCTTTAAACTTTTCATATCAAACACACAACACTTTAAACACTAAAACAATAGAATTTTTAAGATTACCTAACACGAATTTAAAATACACTAAGTAGTGAATACTTATTACGACCGTGCACTCGAAGTTCAAATTGAATACTGAGTGTTCGCATATTCGCTAAATTTGCTCGGCAGCTTTTTGGAAGTTTGAATGTTGGGAATATCACAGCTGCCTTCGAACGGATGTTTACTCTTTGTCGTTGACAATTTTCTTGATTTCCGTGTAAACCGGAAAACTACAATAATCTTAATTATTAATAATAATCTTATCTATAAATTCTTCAATCGTTAATATCAAATCTAAACTAGCTAAAAATTATTATGAATTGAGGAAAATGAAGAAAATTATGTAGTAGTTTACATGTAAATAAATAATATTATTTTGCTTTCAAGTGCGTAAAATATTTTTTATTCGGCTTGTAGTGCTGGAAACTATTATCACTTCTTTTGCTTTAAAAGATATTAATAATATTTTAAAAAGTCGTTTATTAAAATAACACATCAATTTTATGTTTACGTAAAAACATAAATGTAATTTCTCATATTTTGTAAAATCTAACATATACAAAGCTAAGGTGAATTTTATTTTATTGACATATACTTGAAAGAAAGATTATTTCGCAAATCGCAAATGAGGTCTTAAATAATATTTGAAACAAGTAAGGAAGGGCTAAGTTCTAATGTAAACGAATACGTATACTCTTGTAATTTGCCAAGATCATTCGTTAAGGTGTTGGCAAAACTTTATTTTAAAAATGTTGCGTTATTCTACATTCATTGTTCGACGAAATCGTGATTGGAATAAGTACATTTTACTTCCCGTCATACTCAAATAAGACATATCAGACATAAAATTGATCGAAGATTAAATTTAATATATGTATAGATGATCGTAATTCATTACATTAGTGATATAGGGATTTGACAAAGGTTTAAACATTCGTCCGTTTATATTAAGCCCTAAACCATATAACTTTTAAGAAGGCTTGTCCACATAATTTCACTAAAATATCACACATTTTTACCAACCTAAACGGTTTAAAGAGAGGTGGGAAGTCGCAAATCAAATAGAGTATATTGGGGCAGAAAAGGTCTGGGCGGATTGCACTAATTTTTTATTGCTCAGCTATGCATAAACATCTTTTCAAGCATAATTTAACTCATATGCTGTCATATTTGACATATGTTTTGTTAGAATAACGAAAATTATTACGAATACGGGGTAATTCGTAAACCAATTTCACATATTTTTGGCAATAAACTATAGAATATCCAATATTAAACGATCAGTTAATTTTGCTAGATATCTTACGTATTGACCAATATATGTATAAGGTATATGGCCAACCGGCCTGGGTGATGCTGATAGCTTAAGGTGATCTCTTTTATATATAAACCTTGGATTTAGAATTTTCTAGCGCAACTTTTTAAGCGCTATCTATCGCAACTTTTTTTAGCTTTGCGCTGAATTCACTCATATCCTTCACATGGCTGCATTTCCAATTTCTTAAGATTCTTTCATTGCTATTGTCCGAGTATTGATGAAATTAAAAAAGACGTATATATAATTTTATCATGTGATTCTAATTATTATTATTCAATCTCTTTATGTTCTTCATATATATGCAAAAGATACACTCAGATAATAAGCATTACCTTTCCGGCCATTTTTATTGAGTTGAGTCTATTGCTATTCTATTGGAAGTCTAACAGTCACGTCCTTGGGGATGATTTTTACTTGAGACCATTTTCGTTTATGCAAATTTTTGATAATATAAAATAAATGGATATATTCTTGAAAGAAATATTTCAGATTATTCAGAGATAATGATCCCGACTTTTGTATTATAATTAATATTTCTACCTATCTTACCAAAATGTAATGCACTCAATTACATCTTTTATATATGAAGAACGTAAAACGTGTGGGCCGGATTTCAAATATTTGGATTAAAGAGATATTTTAATTATAATTTGAATTAAATATTTTAATATTATGTTAGCTCAAATACGGGATTAAAAATTCACTTATCATATCTTGGGACTAAAAATAAAATTTCAATTTTTACTATTTAATTAAAAAATTAAATTTTAAATTTAAAATTTTTTGAAATAAAAAATTCGCAAGACGGGTGTTGGGATAAAATAATAAATACGTACATTTAAGTCAAGCATTTATGGGTAATGATTTTTAATATTAATACAGTGAAATTATTCATAATCGGACACCCACCGTCGCAATATTTTTGTCCGGCTATGAGAACTATGGTAAAAACTTGTGTTTAAAATGTATTCTTAGAATCACAAAATGACCAGAAGTTGTAATTTATTAAATCTTGTATACTTTACGAAATTATTTGTATTTAAGAGAGATATACATATATGGTATATACATATTTATATACTCGTAAATGGATATGAATGTGTATTATATTCATATACTTAAGTCTGGTTATTAGAGTTGGCCGTATTGGGAAATTTTACTGTAATATGTTCCATAAATGATATGATATGATATGACTCTGCAGTATTTTCATCAAACAACTGAAATTCTAATAGTGCAAAATTTTGTAATCATTTAATGTCACAATTATAAAGTTGTAATTTTTTTTTGAATTTTTAAAATATATCGATTACTTTCGCTTTTTCTTTTTCCAGTTTCCAATTAATTTGAAGTCGTGGTAAAGTGATCTAATGTAATTAATAATAGTGGTTTCTTATTTAAAGTGTTGTGTGTGTGAAGGGTAAAGTGTAATAAATAAAAGCTTTTGCCTTAAATGTGAAAATATGCAGAGGCAATTCAAAGTGCATGTGGTGCAGAAATAAAAAGCCACAAGTGCATTCAAAATGGCTGCTGAGAAAATGTGGGCTTATATTGGAAAAGAAGAGCCACAGTTAGTGAAGAGTGCATGATAAAATAATGTGCAAGTGTTTTGTGAAAATTCAAAGTGCTAATAAAAATTAATACCAAATAATGTCGGTAAATCGGTCGGTTCAAACAAAAATTAATGAAATCATAAGTCTCACTTAAAGTTGCGGTAGATGGCGCGAAACGCATAATATTATGTGGTTCTTTGCTATAATAAGCTAAGATTTAGCTTTGTAAACTTAATTATAGAATACAGGTAGTGTAAGCAGAAACCATAAAATATACTTTATATGATTTGGTGTGAGAATCGACTAATTGCTTGATGAGAAGGAAAGTAATCCATTTGCATAAAATTATCTCCGATGGCTGGCTCACCTATGAAGTGTTAGCGTTGTTTCACCAGAGAACTTAGAAGAACGAGAAGGTGCAGTTCTTCTAAGTTCTCTGGTTTCACACCATTAATTATACCAATAATTTTAAATAAATTAAATCATAGTTATTGAGTGTTTGATAAAGTTTTAATTAAATTTTAATTAATGAATAAATTTGTGAATTTAATAGTTGAATGAGCAAAATAACCAAATGAATGAAAATAAATAAAAATATTACTCGTATTGTAAATATGAGCACTGAGTATATTCATACACCTCCCAATTTTGGGATTAAAAATTAAAGATTTTTATTAAAAATCAGAATTAAAAATTAGAATTTTAGGTTTGATCCCAAAATCAGAATTAAAAAATTATAAAATATTTTTTAATTTAAAATTGGACAGATTTAAATATTTTTAACTGAAAAAGAAAAAAAAAAGTTAAATTCTATTGCACCGAAGCTATAAAACCCTTAACAAATACAAAGAATCCTTACAAGAACTTGATTTCGGTCGTTAAATTTGTATGGCAGCTATATAGAAATCTAATTTCAACAATTTCTTCGGAAAAACATTGTTTCCTTAAACAATAACTCGTGCCTAATCTAGTGAAAATATTGCGTCAGATAAAAATTTTCCTATACAAGCACTTGATTCCGATTGTTCAGTTTGTAGGGCAGCTATATGCTTCAGTGGTCCGATATCCGCCGATCCGACAGATGCGCGCTTCTTAGTGAGGAAAAAACATGTTCAAAATTTCAGATCGAAAGCTTAAAAACTGAGGGACTAATTTCGATACATACAGACAGACAGACGGACATAGCTAAATCAACTCAGCTCATCATGCTGATCATTTATGTATATATTTTATAGGGGCTCCGACGTTTCCTACAGGGTGTTACAAACTTCGTGACAAACTTAATCTACCCTGTTCAGGGTATAAAAAGTAAGAAAGGGCTATGTTCAATTGTAACCGAACATTTTATACTTTTACAACTTCTAAGAATTACCGGGGAAACACATTCAGGTGTTGGCAAATCTATATATTAAAAAAAAGTAGTTCAGGTATACTGGAGAGCTTATTTTTATTAGATTTGAAAACTAAACTAACTTAAAACTAATTTCCATATTAACTGATATATGTGGTATAAGGTCAGTTCGAAAATCTTTATAAAAGTGTATGGGGGCTAAGGGAAGTATTCCGATGGGACCCATTTTTGACATAAGAGTATATTATTATAAAGGAAACATTTTCCCCGAATTTCTATAACTTACCTCGCAGATTGACCGATATTTTCGGCAAAAAGTTAGCCATACGCCAGGTCCACATATTCGGCATATGAGGGCTTGAACAGTTATGGTCCAAAATCGGAATTTTTAGACTCGAGATGGCATACCTCAAAGGCACCATTTGTTTAAAGTTATATTTGAATATATTCATAGGCGTTTGATTTGTGTTCTGGAAAGTGAAAGAACCAGTTGGAATTTAAAATTGTGTTATATGAGAAATAGGCGTGATTGTAGTTCGACATCGCTTATTTTCAAAATGTAATATAGGATCGTCAGGATAAAATTGTGAAATTATGTACCGAAATTGGTTAAAATTTATCAAGCAGGTCCCGAAATATGGGCTTTCACTAAAATGTGGGCGGTGGCACGTCCGTTATCAAATTTTGACAGCGGCTTCTATAAAGCCCCATCCTATGATCTTGGGTTAATTTTTGAAAATTTTGAATTAAAAAATTTGCAACCCTGGTCAAGCAAAACTGAAACCAAATTATTAGTGAAATTGACTGATTCAGCTGTACTTACAGATTCTGCATTAATAATTAATCAAATGTATTCACAATACAAGTTAATAAGGACTTAGCCATATCCTTATAGGTATTATATACCTAAATTGGAAAAAAACGGCAGACATAATTTTAAATGCTTTATCTTTATTTAAATTTTATACATTTGTATATATATTTTTATGGCACATTTTAGATACATTCTTTTAACTGATACTCTTAGATTTAAGTATTAGCTATGTATATACATTCATATATGTAGTACGCAGTTTGAATATGTAAGTCATATAATTTTCAGGAATATGATATATAAATAATAATAATATGTTGGATCTCACTTCATATTCGGCCGATTTATTTATATATTAGATGGTTGTTTTAAGAATTTAGTTAATAAATAATAAAAAAAAATTATATAATTTTTAACTAATTGCGTTACATCAGTTTTTGAAATTTTAAGTTCAAAATTACTTTTTAAAAAATAAAATATCATTAAATTAAAATTAATGAATTTTTTTTTTCGAATATATAATTTTCTTAAAAGGATTTCGGTACTTCTATGCATAAAAAATGATATGTGTAAATCCAACATTATACAATAATTTTTTTTTTTAAATAAATCGAGCAGCACCTATTTTGTATATTAGGTTACTTTTTTATAATTTACTTCCAAATTATGCCTGTTTTCGCATGAGCAATTTTAGTTTTCAAATATACATATATTACTACATACTATTTTAACTTTATTAATTATTAAATTAACAACTATTTATTATTTACATAAATTTACTATCAACAAAAAATGAGTAGCATGTTTAACATAGTAATTGTATATTTGTATATCTTATATATATATTATCTTATTAATATAATATATTACTTAATTATTTAAATATTTCTAAATGCTAAGCGTTTTTTAATTAACTGTCATATTTAAATATATACTATTTTTCGCATAATATGAACACAGATTATGATAAGAAAAAGTTACTTTGATAATTAGTAATTATTAATTACACTTCTATGAATAACATCTAATTTACGCTGCGCGTTGAAATATTAACAAAAAATAAATGCCTAATCAATATAAATTTTAAGCTAGTGACATCAGTATTAATTAGTTCTGTACAATTATTTACTTATTTATTAGAAATTTAATAAACACATTATTTATCTTTGTTTAAATATGTATATAATATATATTTCTAATATTTAATTGTTCAAAATTTATTTCTACATTCTGAATTATTTACTTATGCTTCAATTTAAATAGGAATTATCATAATTACATTCGATATTTGAGTTACCATATATATATATATATATCTATATGCATATAATTATTTTTTATTACCATGCTATGCAAATAACAAATCAAATGCTACTTGATCGTCCCATGCCGGTACACACCCCCGATGTCGTCGTTATATGGTGATTCCGTAATGCTATTTTGTTGAAATGCATTAAGGGTGTTGCTCTTGCATTTGAAATCTGTAAGTTGAAATAATGACATTAATAATTTATATTTTATATCTCAAATACTTTAATTATTTAAAAACAAGAAAAATTGTTAATAGTAATACCATTCACAAATACAAAAGATTCCTTACAATAACTTTCATCGTTCAGTTTGTAAGGTAGCTATATGCTATAGTGACTCAATCTGAACAATTTCTTCGAAGAGTGCATCATTGCCTTTTGCAATAGTCCAAGCCAAATTTCTTGAAGAAAACTCGTCAAATGAAAAAGTTTTCCATGCAAGCACTTTATTCCGATCGTTCAGTTTTTATCGCAGCTATATGCTATAGTGGTTCATTATCGACCGTTCCGACACATGAGTAGCTTCTTGATGAGAAAAGGACTGGTGCGAAATTGCAGATCGATATCTCAAAAACTGAGGAACTGTATACATATGTACATAACCATTCACATATTTACATAAGTCCTTCGTAACCAAAATTGAAATGATATGGATTTTTCAAAATAATTGCCACAAAAACTATTAATGCCTGGCCTACTTGAAGTCATAAGAATTATAAAAACATTACCGAAGCAGTTATTACTAATAATGAATTTTATTTAATATTTTAACCCACCTCATCGACATGATGACACATTTTCGTTCTAACCCAAGGCCATTTGATGGTGCGTATCAGCGTATTTCGAAAATCTTCACTGAATAAGCAATATATGTAGAATGTTATAGAATAGTTTGTGAGTTCCATCAAATTGGCCAATGCTCGAAACACCTGCAAAAAAAGCAAATTAATTGATTTAGAAATTTATATTGTTTGGTATCAGCTACTAAGTACACACCTGAAATGAAAAGTTCGGCAATACTTCGGAAGCAATTGTCATATGTACAATGGCCATAGGGGACACGCAAACGAGGAACAATATTGATGTACTACCTAAAACGACATGAAAGGGTCAGCGCTGATAATTTTTGACTCTAAATTAACACCTCATTTTTATGTTTGTTAGACCCATTGTATTTATGACTTACCTAGCAATAAGAATAACCTTCGTTCTTCGGCGAATTTTCTTGGATCCTCATCGCGCACACAATTCGAGCGTGAAATCAGCATCTCACGCCGTCGTTGACAAGTTTTTCGATACACCAACATAATGCGCATATTTAATCCGGCGATTAATACAGTTGGTATTAGTTTGAATATCACCTCGAGCATTACTTTGTAGACCTATAAAAAGAATTAGCAAATATTTTTTAATTGTCACAATAATTTTCGATTTTCGCATTTACCGAGTAAAAAAGCGTCTTTAGGAATTCATTATTATCACGTCGAAAGTAAACATAGTTGCCATCTGAGTGTAATATACACTTGACTAGGACGCCACGAAACACGCTTGGCGTGTAAATGATGAAAGTGACGAGAGTGGTTAGGAACACAACAATTCTAGAAATTACAGTAATTATTTACAAATGCAAACATTTGGCTATAGCAAAGCATTTAACTCACCCAGGTGGTCCCATGACGGGACGTGAAAACCCTGGATGACACACAGAGACATATCTTTCAATGGTTAGCACTAGCAGCATCATTACACCCACACCTGCACATGTTTATAAATTTGAGTTCCAGTGACATTTTGAATTACAATAGATAGCGTCTTACCTAGGCAACCGTTACCGAGAAAAAGCTCCAGATGCGCTGTATAGAAGGCGGGTCCGAATTCTTCCCAACGTCCGCGATCTTTATGCACCAGCATGCGCATACCGAAGGGTATGGCGAATACGATGGCTAATAGTGCTGCAGTAGAATAGGCTGTAATTCAAATATATTTTATTAATAACTGATAATAGAGCGATTACAGAGATTTTTTATATTACAAACAAATATAATATTACAGATACAAAAATATTACAGATAAAAAAAGATCAAATATTACACGCTGTATATGCTGATATAAAATCTAGATGGTTTTAAATTAATTATACCCTTCTCCAAGCGTCGGAACCCTATAAATTACATGATCACCATGACGAGCTGAGTGGATTTAACCGTGTTCGTCTGTCTGTCTGTTTTCTCCCAATAAGCTGATCATTTGTCGAAACCGCCGATATAAAAAATCGATCAAAATCAAGTCATTGTAATTTCCGAAGAAATTGTTCAGATCGGATCACTATAGCATATAGCTGTCATAAAAAAAGAACGCTCGGAATCAAGTGCTTGTATGAAAGACCTTTTAATTTGATGAGATATCTTCATGAAATTCAGCGCGGATTATTGATTGAAACAATTGTGTAATCTCCGAAGAAATTGTACAAATCGGATCACTATAGCATATAGCTGTCATATAAATCGCACGATCGGAAACAAGTTCTTGTAAGGAATCTTTTGTATTTGTGAAGGGTAAAAGAAGTTAAATTTTTACATATTTTCAATTAATGTTACTGTCCTAATCGGAACCCCTTGAGCTGCTTATGTCTTATGTGGAAAAGCAATAGTGCTGCACTGTCATAAGGAAGAATTTGTAATGCTATTCAGACTTATGCTTTGTCACTCGTTTCCTTGATCAATGTAAATCAGCCGACATAGAAGACAGAGCGAAAGTTCTGACTTCAATATGACTGCTTAATACCAGGAGGCCTGTAATTTATTGTATATTTTATTAGGCTTGGATGCCTTAGTGCCATGTGTTTGTTGCATGCAAACACAAAAAGCAATGGAAATGTGAAAACTCACATATACTTGTATAAGAAAATACTTGTAGTGCAAGTCAAATACAAAAACCCATATATTTAGATATAAGTAAGACCTTGTAGGAAAGTTTACTGTGAGTAAAAAATTTTAAAGAAAGGTATTTTTAGAAATAATTGATTTTTGTTAAATACTACGGAAAAAATACTGTTAACTTAAATACTATATATGTTGATGTCCAAGTATTTTCCTTATAAAATAAAAAAAGTTGTTTTGTCACAGTAAGTTAATTTTTCCTATACGCGTCAACGAACGACTGAGCTGTTGCAAACTTTGTAGCACACCTATAAATCTTATATAGCTTGTAACATTTCTTACTTGATTGATGATGGAATTTCTTGCAATTACAGTAAAAATCTCGACGCATTCTAAAGAAACACCAATATTCACAGATTCCCACATGAATATACACTAAGCAAAGACGAAGCAAAAAAAAAACCGTTTACTTCGGCTCCATTGATGTTTCAATACCTTTCACAGATGTATTTTTATAGCATAAACGGATGCAAAAAGATCTTTATTTCAAAAATCCCAGCCAAATTTCATGAAGACCTTGTCAAATAAAAAGGACTTAAGTTGAATCGGTCAATTGTATGGGCGCTATATGCTATAATTGTCCGATATCCTTATATTCAGATGGACATACAGACGGACATGGCTAAATCGACTTAGCTCGTCACGCTGATCAGTTAGATATGTATACACTTCAAAATGTCTCCGACGATTCCTTTTGGCTGTTACAAATATCATAGCAAACTTATTAAACCCTGTTTAGGGTGTAAGCAGCAAAAACACATCGACACATGTGGCACATGGCTGACTGTATTGTGCAAACTCTAATCTTCCATAGGCTAGATAATATAAGAAACTAAAGGAAAGAACAATAATTTTTTCGCAGACATGTTGCATATGTTAGGGAGCTTATTCTCATAACTTCGTAGTCTCCTTCATGACGTCGTTGCACTTTTTTGTTGTGTTGATGCTGCATTGTCTGCCGGCTGTTTATTGCAGCTACAGTTCGTTCCAAGTATTCGTAAATTTACGTACAACTTTCATGGCCTGTTCTTTTGTTGTATTTTGCGCACAAAGTTTATAACCTTTCAAGTTAAGTGAACGAAATGGGCGGGTAAGCAAATGTAACAGAGAAGATAATATAGTCGTTACAGGCGTGTGGCATGCAACACTTATTTCATATGTGTAAAGTAATTGAGCCAGATACACCTGTGAGGTAAAACTCTTTAAAAAGTGGGCGTGGCCCCGCCTTTTAAATGGTTTAATCTTCATATCTTCCAAACCGCTTAAGCTATATAAACCATACTTGCTGAGGATAAGCACCTCTTCAAATCCTGTAAAAATGAGTAATATCAGTTAATAACTACACCCGCTCCCTATATAACCGTTATATTAAAAACTACTAAAAGTGCTATAACTCCCTGAATAATTCATAAGCCTTAAATTTCACAATCTAGATGGTAAGAAAGGGCTTTATAGGTGCCACTTTGTAACGCAACTATAGTGTTACTGTTGCCTTAAATGAACACATCACGTCGATACTTTCCTTAGTTTAGGTTTCCTGAAGGTGTTTCCCGGCTTCGATCCTTGGAAGTTGCAAGAGTAGAGAATGTTCGGTTACACCCTAACATAGCGCTTTCTTACTTGGTTTTAAATAGAATTGAGCACCTTGCATACTAGGTAGTATGAAAGCGGTGTGTAACTGTAGAACGCTAAGAATCTGCTAATATAAATTTAATATATTCACCTTTCAAATTGCTTCGGCTATCTGAACATAATTTAGTGCCAAGTCGGGCAATATAAAGATTGCTTTATACGTAAAACTACTAACTAATAATGTTAGACGAAATTCGCTGATAACAGCGATACGAATGAAAAACTCGTAATCCATTTTAAATCGGATCACAAAACCATAACCCTTTTATATATTAAGTTATTTTAAACCCAATTATCAAGCAATAAGTAGTCCAAGTTTAAGGGGTTAATGGTTGTCAGAGGCACAAAAAATGAGAATTTTCAGTAATTTTTTTTGCTACTAAATCATGTTATTTTACAAAACTAGTAATATGGCATTATTATACAATATTATAGTTTGAACGAAAATTAAAAAAAAAAAACTTTAACTTCCAAAGTTATAGCAAAACAAGAACCTTGCGGTGACAATCATAAGTCCTGAGAGATTCATCTAAAATCGATCGGATGAAAAAAATTAGTTTTATAAATAGATAATCCTGGGCCTGATCGAATCTTTTTTATTTTTTTCAAAAACTAACAAAATAGCGGCCTCAGAAAATTTTTTCTAGACTTTTGGGAAAAAATCAACAGTTAATTAGTCTTAAAAAATCGAAATTCCCGAAATCCTCCAATCAGGCCCGAGTTTGTTATGCATTCTAAACGGTGTATAAATTTCATTAAAATCTACTTAGCGGTTTTCGAGTTGCAGTTGTCACCAGTTCAAAAAACATAGTTTTGAGAAAATCGCATTTAAAGTTTTGCCTTGTACTTCCAAGCACTCTGAAACGCCTTTTCAAATGTGCGTGTAACTTCGAAAATATTCTCCGGAACGTTATGAAATTTTCTGTGTGTATTCTTAAGTATAGGTACATTAAGAAAATAAAATAAAAAAAATTGATTTTTTAAAAATTCTGACTGCTTCTAATCCCTTAACAACAATTAGTTGAAGGTAAAATCCTTGATACACTCAAGATCAAATATGATCCGGATCGGACCATTTAAACTGCCTTTGCAAAACGATACAATTTTGCTAGATTGGTGCTAACTTTTTTTTTTCGTGTGAAGTTTGATCTCCACATGTCAATTAGTGTGTGTTTGGCAACTGTTCATTTACGACGCGAAAAGTTTTTCTGACGATTTTTACCTTGAGACAAAAAATTAACAATAAGTTTGCTGAATTTTTGTGTTTCCAATGGAATCATGGCTACGGAATCATTAAAAATGTTTTCGAGTGGGTGGGGCGCAAGGTATTTATTGAAGGTCGTGAAGTCAGCCTCATGCGACTTGTCCATCCACGTCAGTTAATGACGATAGCATAAAAAAATTTAAAATATTCTCGTTTGCAGCAAAGAAATAGCGGAGGATCTTAACATCTCGTATGAATGAAATCAACACATTTTGGTAAATTTTTTAAGTATGAAGCGTGTTAGTGCTACAGTCGTACTAAAAAACCTGAATCTTTTACAAAATCGATGTCTAATAGAGGTCGTAAAACTGAGGACCCTAAACCAAAAAAAAAACCGACTTTCGCTTAATGCACCTAATCGAGGTTTATAACAAGTGACGATCCGGAGCCCATTTTAAAGGCGAGAATGAAGATTTGTATTAAAAAGCGTGGTAATATACTTTTTTTTGTCATTCTGTGTTTACCGTACCCAGGTACTTTCTTTTCCATCATCCAGCCTTTGCAAGATTGAGGCTCAAACATCTCAGCAGACATACCTTCGGCGAACCAAGAGACATAGCGGAAACTTTCATTCAAATTAATGTAATCGGTTCAAACTTTTCTTTGCGCTATACACCATATATAATTATTTCCTACAGTTTATTATATTCCGAAATATGTTGCACCTAGTTTTTTAAGGCTCCATATTTGATTGTATGACTCACATTTATAGCATCAATATGGAAAATGTCTCAATAAAAAATATATAGAGTAGATTACATCCTTTTTGTTACGCTATTAACGAAGCTAACAATAAATGTTTTACATAAATAACAAATATCATAATAAGCTAAAGCTCCTCCTCCAATCAACACTACCTCCGATCACTTAGTTTTTAAATCGTAAAATTGTCAAATTACAGATTTAATCAAATTTAAATGTTTGCTAATTTGTGTTCGAAAAAAAAGTGTACAAATTGAGCAAACACCATTCATGCCACACTCAATTCCAGCCAATTAGTCAATTAAGTGTATTCAACAACGGAAAAACTGTATGCAAAGTGGCTGAACTTTTTCCATGTAGTGATGTTTTATTAATTTGATTATCATTAATTGTGATTAAATATTTGCGCTGAAATGTATTTATTTCAGAA